GAAACTGTTACCCAAGAGCCCCGGTTTCCTAAACCAACAAACTCTGACTATCAGTCAGTTCCACACTTCACACAGGAGATCGAACCCACTCACCAAAGTTACACAGAGCAAAACGTTGAGGAGAGGAAATGAGAGAGGGAACATTCTCCTCCTCCTCTTCAGTGATGGTTTAAAAACAGTATGTGGAGCCCTGAGTGACATTCAGCCGCCTGTGCCTCACCTGTTGCTCTTAGTCATTAATCTGCATGGAAAGAATCCTCACCCCTAACTCTCACCCCGTCTCCTAAAGCTGTGGTTATGCTTGAACGAATGGTCAGTGTGTCGTATACTCCAAAAAGCCAGAAAGAGGAAGAAGAGGAAACTACAGTTTTGGAGGGACCTTGTTTCCTGTGCATTTCACAAACCAAAGGGTTTTTCATGGTTTCCAGCAGAATGTCATATTATTGCCAAATTTATGAGCAATCTTCCTCCAGGAGCACGAGACATGCCGCACATGGCAAGTAAAAAAAAAGAGGTTTGGAATTTAATGTAATTTCTGCCGCATGCCACTGGACACATCGATGAGAATGGTGAGCACAGGCTTCTCCTAACTCACTAACTAACACCACAACTGGTGGTTAAAATGTTGGGTAGTAAAGATATTTTATTTGTCAATAAAAAGGTTAAAATTGATGTAAGTGGGTTTGAACACCCAACATTTGATGTGATTTGTTATTTGAATATATTTTAGAACAATATATAATGTTGTTTTCACTGATTCCAAACTCATGAACCTGGTCACTGGTCTTATCAGTAGAATATTTACAAGGAATTGTTACAGTGACTGAGCTGAACTAATCAGGGATACTCAATTAATCATTGAAATCTTTAATCAATGAAAAATGCCAAACATTTTTGGGGATTCAGCCTCTCAAATGTCAGGATTTGTGTTTATTATTGTTCGTTGTTTATCCTCAGGTTGTGAAGTGCGGCTCAGACTAAACAATAGATCGGATGATGTCACCTTGGGCTGCGTGAAACTTGTGCTTGCAATATTCTCTTGTTTCACAACTAGACTGAAAATAATTCTTAGTTGCAGCCCCTGAGATGATAAATCCCAGAAGAATTGAGTAAAGTCAAACCATTGTAAGCTAAATACAACATGAGTGTGAAGTCACATGTCACTGATTGTTTTTCTTCTATGATTTGATTTAAATCACATAAAATGTGATTTTAGTTTTGACACAGTTATGCCTCTTGTTTCACTTTGTGGTCATACGTGTTAATTAGCTCACACAGACTAGTGAAGGAGGATTATTGTCATCTCTCCAGAGGGTAATTAAGACAGAGTGCTATCTCTTTGAGAGTTTATCTATCTCAGAAGGAGAAATTAATTCTTGTGGGATGATGAGTCAACCTCTTTTACATGGTCTGTTTTACGTAGTAATTCGAATAGCTCCGTCTTGACTTCAAGTAGAGCCAAGCAGTTTCAATAATATATTTGTAATGGCTTTATAGATCCCAGCTTTACAGGTTTATATCTCACTTGATAAGCAAATTATTATATTTCAGGACTGAGGCATTTTTATTCTATAAATGGTTCATGACAGAGTATAAAATCCTTCCACAACAAATTGTGCTCGTATTTCTATTTCTACATCAAACACACGGTGCACGTTGTTTTGTTCACCTTGACCTTCGATCAACAAATAAAAGCTTTCAGGGGGAGACGGAGTATTCGCCGTAACTGTTTGGCACCTTATTTCGGGTTGTGTTTGCCTCCTGCGACGTGGCAGCGTGTTCAAGTATCTCCTGGAAAGCGCCCCCCCCACAATCCTAAAGTAAACAGATGGAGCAGGGGACCTCAGGTGGAGACAGAGGTATTGTTATTCTATAAACAATGAGATCAGGGAAAGAGAACAGCACGTAGCTCTGGGCGCTCAGCGATTCCAACCATACCTGCAGTCAGACACTTTGCAGGGAAAAGCCACGTGAAAAAGTAGCTGCTGCTATTGCCGCTCGGCCTGGTTCGGGGAATTGCACGGCCAGATGTAATCCGCTGTAATACATGATTGTCTCTCACACATGTTTGTACAGCTGTCTTAGTGAGGACCCTCATTGGCATAATGCATTCCCCAGCCCCTTACCCTAACCCTCCAAACTAAGTGCCTGACCCTTCACCTAAACCCAATTCTAACCCTAAAACCAAGTCTTGACCCTCAAACAGTCCATTAAAGGGGGGGGGGGTCACAAAGTGAGGACCGGCCTAAATGTCCTCACTATGACCAAAATGTCCTCACTCCGTAGGTTAAAGGCGAAAACTGGTCCTCACAAAGATGGCTGTGCAAACACACACACACACACTTTCTTGCCATCGTTCATATTTTCCACGTTTTGTTTTCCAACTCAAATATTTGTCACATATTGTCACGCTGTGGATTTTGGCCCGAGGCTCGGGACGTTCGTCGTTGTTCCGACACGTCTGTAAATAGACAGCAATTCCCCTTCACAAAACTCTTTGTTCAGTATTACACTTGAGTACATTACCAACAGCTAATAGGGAATTAGGGGAAGACATTTAAAAATTATTGCGTGAAATGTTGTCTTTTTTAAATTTTCAGTCGAGAGACATGTTTTGAATTGTTTTGCATCAGTTGCCACATTTTATTTCGTTTTGTTAGTTTTCATTATTCATTGAAAACTCATATAATCTTATCTTTCCACTTTTCTGATGTTGTCCTCTTCATCAGCTTCCTGCAAATGTCTAAATGTGGTTTTAAAAAGCAACATTAAAGAGATTACAGACATGATTTTATGAGAATTTACACTATGCATTATCCTCTTCTTAAGATTCTTCTCCCGCTCTGCTCGTTTGTGTGCTAATCAGGCGTGTGACACGAGGATGTGACGAGTCCAGAATCGTAGGTGACTGGTTGGTGGATGCCCCTGCATGTAAATGAAGGGATTCGGTCACTTGCAAAGAGTAAACAAGCAGAGAATGAGGGGGGATATGCAGCATTGTGGAGGAATTACCTGCTAGAACATTTCCTTCATAATAAAGTGTGCTTCTAATAGTGTGGTTTAGGACTGTGACATCTTTTTCATGGGGTTTTATGATGAGCGTTGGGTTCATATAGAACAGGTGTTTTGTCTATGTGAGAATGGTGGCTCTCTAGTTTGTCTTCTGTTGTTGATGCTGTTTGTGTCTTTGTTGCCACAGCAATAGATCATCATCTTGATTTGGAGCCTGGGTTCATGAAAAAAATTCAATACCGGCTCAGACAGAATTTAATAGACTTTGAGTAGATCGTTAAACCGAATAAAAAAAGTGCAATAGAACCAATAGAAGTTTTAGGATTTTAAAAGAAAGATGTCGGGCTTTTCCCGGCTATAGGATCAGTCAAAACAAAAAAAAATAAAGTGCCTTAAATTCATACACAACAACACAATATATTGCATGTCGTAAAAGGAAAAGAAAATCAACCAGGCAGACCTGAGACTTTCTGTGAATTAGGTTGTATAACGAGTTTTCTGAATCGTGCAACTTAGACGGCATCAAAGCAATGGTTTCACAAACTAATTACCAAATACCAACAATTACCGACAGAGCAACAATCAATACATTTTCGGTTTGATGTGAGCCACTGAGCCTTGACATAAACACTCAGAACTCTAAGGTTCACTAAATATTTAACAAATCCACACAATGACCACGTTGTCACAGATGTTTTCTGCTGTAGAGCCAGTTTTCGTCTGTAGTTGACTCATTAAACTTGTGCATATGGGTTCAGCTTTCACTGTCAATCATTTGTCTTCGAAAATATTGGGCTGATGGAATCTAGGAAACAGCCAGAAAGCTACACTCTCCCGTCGTATGCACCCGGAACATATCCTCCGCAGGTTATTTTTGGCATTAAAGCTGTTCAGATGTTGGCAGCCGAGTGAAAAAGACTTCATAGGTTTGATTCATCCCCATAAAATTTGAAATATAAGGAAGCAGAGAGCTCTGCCCTTCTTTATTTCAGTATTTATTTGACAGCCGCAGTTTCTTTGCAGAATATTGTCATGCACATGTTTTTTTAGTTCATAAAAACAATACATCACCACAGGTTAAACTGCCCATCAGTACAGTATAAGATAATTATTGCCTCCACCAAGGAGGATATGTGTGTATTTATTATGTAAATTGTATTTGCTATGTATGTTTTTGCCACTTTCTGGTGGTATGTTGGTTGATTATGTAAAAACTGAACTGATTTCTATTCTGGTGGAAGGATGTTGCATTGGTCAGGGAAGAATCCATTAGATTTTTCACTTTAATATTGTAAGATTGCTTTGCTCATTCAGGGAACTGATAGTTATTGGTGTGTGGAACTTTGTGCAGCTTTATTGAGTTTAAATCGACTGTCATGCCGAGGCTGTCAGTTTGCGCTCTGGAAAGTTTGTGAATGATTTTGTCAGATCGTAATTTGTAACGGATTGTTTTTACGGTATCTCAATATGTCTTCCATCACTGCACAATGAATTAGTATTTTTCAGGAGGTAATAAAACAGTTTAGGACATTTTTATTTAAAATCTGTCAGATGCGAGACTTATCTTATTGAACTAATGCTGGACGTAGAGTCCTGTGAGCATTTTTGTTTAAATCAAAATAAAAGACAAACAAAGTCAAGTTTTCAGGTTTGACTCAAGGTGCAACTCTGCAGTCCAGTAAAAGACTTTAAGTTTTATCTATCACAATGAAATTTAAATTTCAGGTGTAGCCAGCGAGTATTGTATATAAAAACGTTGACATTCATCCTGATCTCAGCTCTTTTTATTTATTTTACATCGTTTTTTCTCATTGAACTGGTGGATTTTGTTCTCCTAAGCTGCCAACCCACATATAACTATGACTCAAGCATTGATGCAGCATAGCAAATGTGTCTTTGGTGCGTGGACCATTTCCTGCTCTCATATCCCGCTCTGCTGAAAGACTTGAGCTTATGTGTGTTTGTGTGTGTGTGTGTCTCCTCTGCAGAGATCCGCGAGGCCTTCAAAGTGTTCGACCGTGATGGAAACGGATTCATCTCAAAGCAGGAGCTGGGGATGGCCATGCGCTCCCTCGGCTACATGCCAAACGAGGTGGAGCTTGAAGTCATCATCCAGAGACTGGACATGGATGGTGAGGCACATTCACTGATTGTTATCATGTTAAATCACAAAGTATAGAAACTTAACTAAAAAGCCAAAGTGTAGTAAGTAGTAAAACCAGTTACGATAAACACCAACTGCTCCTGTTTTCTACAGGCGACGGCCAGGTGGACTTTGAGGAGTTTGTCACTCTCCTGGGCCCGAAGCTGACGGCAGCTGGGTTGCCGGATAAGTTCAACGGCACCGACTTTGACTCCGTCTTTTGGAAGGTGCTCATTATTCAGTCACTCATTTCCTGCCAATTAGAAAGAAGACAGACAGCAGAGTCGCAAGCTGTAGCAAAACCTCCGACAGAGGCATGTCGACTCTGCGACTTAAAAGGAAAAGCAGATTTAATTATTACATTCACTGGGTCTTTAAAGGGAGAGGTTCGGATTCCCTTAAGAAATGGATCCTTCATCAAGACTCGGACCTCTACGTCTTTGTGTGTGGCTCCACCATCAGTATTTATGTAGAACAGATATGGATTTATTTGCAGACACCTTATTAGATAATCAACACCTCGCTTAGACGCTGGGATGGAAATGAAGGGGACGGAGCTCATGTCAAAGTCGCCTTTGTTGCAGTTATGTGATAACAGAGCTGGAGACGCTGTCAGAAAACAGGCTCCAAATTGATTGTTAAAGCGAGGGTGGATTTATGGGCATTCTCGGTGCCGTCAGTCAGTGCAGGAGAATAATAAAAAAACATTCACAGCCCAAGCCTCCTGCTGGGAGAGTCAAGAAACCCGAGGGATTGTTGAAGAAGCTGCATCGCTTCACATAACATTATATAACCGAGTTGTAGTATCAAGCATGTGCTGCTGGATTGATCACCGCAAGCCTCCGGTCACTCTGCTGAACTGCAGCTCAGGCTCTCAGTAACAGTCTTTACAAGCAGGCACTGATCCAGGATTATGTTTTTAGTTTTTGGTCTTAGTCATTCAGATTTATTTTATTTGACTCAGATTTTACATAATACCCAGTGTTGGAATACAACCAGGGACATTTATTCCAAAAAATGTCATTTTTTGTTACTGCATACTGTGTATTTTAGGCACTGCTACTACTACTACTACTACTAATACTACTAAAAGGTATTCACACTATGGTCAAATTACATTCGGTATAATAGTATGACAGACAGTAGCCTTAATACATTTACCTTTGATACTTTCCTTGCACTTTTAAAAATCAACAAAATGGGTGAGAAAAAAAATTAGCAATATCTAAATAAAGTTTTCCACCTTGCTGCAGTTTGAACTCGGTTTTCCAATAGTTAAACGACACCTTGCGTTCTTGTGCCCACCAGCCTTGCATCCATGTTAATGTTCAATTACATGTATGTGTGTGCGTATCTCCAGTGTGACATGCAGAAGCTGACGGTAGAGGAGCTGAAGAGGCTTCTGTACGACACCTTCTGTGATCACCTCTCCATGAAAGACATCGAGAACATCATCATGACCGAGGAGAACCACATAGAGAACCCTGAGGAGTGCCAGGTGGATATAGACAGTAAGGAAGATCCTTCTTTAATAACAGGCCTCTGCTGTTTATGTTGTGGTTTGAAAGAGCGGGGGCAATTTATGGCACACAGCAAAGTTGTTTTGGATTACATTTGGCTCACACTGTCATCCCACATAGCAGGTGGAATCATGGTACTTGGGTACTCTGCTCCTGTTTCGGAAATCCAGATCTACAGTATTGCCATCGCGATACCACGTCAACCAAAGCTGCTAAATGGTGCCTGATTTTTTGGGCCACATTTACCATTTACCACACAGGCCACTTGCTTGCCATGTTTGCCACTAACGCCCACCTATGTTCTGGGATATTTGGGCCACATTTGCTTTTTTACAAGTGGGCCACTTTCGGCTCACATCCATTTTGTGCAGGAGACCAATTATCGTATGAGTTGTGTTATTATTGCAATATTTACACAACTTTTTACCAACAAATCAATTGATCAAAATGATCTGCATGGCTCTGATCTTGGTGAAATTACCGAAGCAGAAAGCCTCCATATATGATATTATAAATGACTATGCTATTGTGAAAGCACCATCCACCCACATAGATGCTACATGGAGAACCATATTCTCTGGGGCTCGTTTGAAAGTCATTGAAATGCAGGAAGTCCCTAACAGAAGCAGAGTCTTATTGACAGAAAAGTGTCGGCACAATGAAAAAGTATTTATACCTCTTCGTTAGAAAATAGCTGTAATTTTCCTTCAATGGTAAATATCCCAAGGGATGCAATTGAGAATTCTTTGCTTTTTACTTGGTTCATATGGTCATTTTTTCAAGTGGAAATCAAACGACTGCTGGAGCCTTAACAAACCTAATCTGGGATTTTCAATAAGAAACTCTTTTGTGAAGAGTTTTTACTCTGAGAACAGCAATTACCTCTGGAGGAAAAATAGATAAATCAAAAAGCAAAATTAATTTAAAGCAGTAAGAAATCAATAATGCATTTTGCTTCGGTCCAGCTGCCTTGGCTCTTTCCTCAGATGATACTGAAGGTACGCTGCACCTTTTCTTGGGCGGCTGGTGTTTTCATGAGCATCCTTTAATATGTCAGGTGCCAGTCCATTTTATGTGTGGTTCCAAACTCTAATCAACATTTTAATCTAGATGCAGTTACGCAGCATACAGGTGTGAAAGCAAAAATTTCTTGGCTGAGTTCATCCCCTATAATTGTGTTCATGTAATTCTAAGGTTTTGTGATGAGCTCCTTCATTCGGAAATTACTTTCAGATGTCTTTCAAGCGTTAAATAACTACTGATTCAATGAACCTTCAGGTGTTATTTTCCTTATTTCTTTCCGTCCCATCACATTTTTTTTTTTACATTTCTCTGTGCAGGTTCCAGCCCGACGCAGCAAGTGAAGCAAACTTGTGTGCGCAAGAGCCTGATATGCGCCTTTGCCATCGCTTTCATCATCAGCGTCATGCTCATCGCAGCCAATCAGGTGCTGCGGAGCGGCATGAAATAGGAGCTGTGGAATTTTCAGCCTTGATCACCACCTAAAGGCTGCCTTGCAGATAAATGACTGAGAGAATAAAAAATAAAAAATAAAAGCATTCTACGGACAATCACACAGGTGTAAAACAGGCTAACATATGACTGCTGGAGGCACCAAGGACACTTCATGTGCAGGAATCCATCTTGGTGACAGAGACAAGCTAACAGCTCTCAGAATTCCAAGGACAACAGGACCTCACATATAAAGAGACAGCGGTGTGTGTTAACTTGGACAGCTGACAATACATATCACTCTTCGTAATAACAGCGTTTAGTATTCATTAGCTATGTGCATTTGAGCAGTGTTGCATTCACTATGGTGGCAGCTATAGAGAGAAGTGTAGTGACTGTCCAGTTTTGTATTTTTCAGTGTACCATCCGGTTAATTATAAAAGAATAGAAAGAAATCTGTGAAATATTGTGGGTAACATTAAAGAAAATGTATTCCAGACGCTGGAAAGGAATTTTGGTGAGACTTGGTGTGCACAGCGATGTGTGGGGGCAGTGCATGTGGTGCAATATTGTTAAAATAATAAAAAAACACCTCTTGGGAATAACAATAGCGTGGTAAGAAACAGGCAGGTGCAGATTTCCAGGAAGGTGCCCATGATTGTGTGGATGGTTTCATTCATCCACATGCTGCAGGGCTTCAGGCTGAAGCCTCTCGGGAGGAAGGTGTTTGGGTCTGAATGCGAAGGTAACTGGCTGGAAAGTGGCTGGACATGCAGTAAACACTAAACTCTATCTCCACAGCGGGGCTTTGTAGGCCTCGGAGTGTGACCGTCATCTATGCATGAAGTGCATGGATTTAAAAACAGTCGTCTTGAAACATTTGTAAAAGTTCTTATCAATGTATTAATCATTATGACTGTGTAACAGAGCTGTTCTAAATACTAAATGACAACTGTGAGCAATTGTTTGTGGTGCAGGGTATCAGCAATCACAACAACAGTAAATTATACAACTGCATGAAAAAGAAGGGCTGCTTTAGTACATGCTCGTGAAAACTATTTCTCGGATCGTTAATCCATGGACATTGTGCCTCACACGGGGCACCTGATGATGATCTCTTACAGCAACCGAAGAGCAAACTCCTTCAAGATGTTCGTCACTCAACCATTTAAAGAATATGCATCAAACTGATCTAGCTGGGTTTAGAGGTGTAAATCTGCAGGAATGTATTTTGTTCTTTTGTGTTTTTTGTCTGGAAGTGTTGCTATAGAGCAATAACTGTATGTAAAATAGTCATCACAGGATTCTTCAAAAACATTAGCACCGATGGACCTACAAACTGCTGAGGTCAAAAAAGATTTTATAGCACTTTTTCGAATTAGAGTTTTTGGCAATATGGCAGACATTGGCTCTGATGTTCAAACAGTGAAGATCACAGATGAGTGGAAACCTGTGTGTTAGAAGTTGTCCGTTGCATTGAAGTAAGACAGGGGCCAAATCGTGTAAACTGTTGCAATAAAACATTAATATCTGTGAAGCACCACATTAAAGATTTGTTTGGATGTGGTTTAGATTGTTGTGCATGCATCTGGGTCAGGTCTGTCACAATTGATGTGTTTTGTGCATTTGAAGCGACTTCAACCAAAGCTTTGGGGAAACAACACAACTGGGTCACTGAACAAGAGCAAGCTTGGTAATGAGATAAAAAAAACAAAAAAACATTTGAATTATTAAAAAATCTGAAATCTTAAAGTTACCTATGCTCACTATTTTAGTAGACACTCTAGAAAGGATTCAATCTTACCTGAAACCAGGGAGGGCTGAAATGCCTCAAAGCCAAATTTGAATTTTTGACAGGGCAGCATTGTGTTTGAAAAGGCAAAAGAAAAAAGCCCTTCACAATGCCTTCAAAAATAAGACGGTGAAATACAGAGAGCTGAATAATTCACATCTCATAAATATCCCCTTTTAGGATCGCTATTGGCAGCTCCCCAAACTTGGATCTCACACAAGAGCCACAACCTGAATTAGACAATACCCTTTCGCCCAGAGCCTGGCTGGATAATGATTATCTCATGCACTCGGGCAATTTGTCAAGTCTGTTGGGAAAACACTCTGGTAAAAATATAGAAAAAAGCTCTATTTATTAACTAATACCTTTGTTTCCATTTTGCACTTTAAGATGTGCCTCAACGCACAACAACAACTCACCGCCATGATTGTTCATCCATTTTGAGATACAGTTAGGCATAAAATTACTTTACCATAGATGTATATTTTTGTGATGAGAGCGCAACAGTATAGAATATTTACTGACTGACAAATGATTATGTCTCATTCGTTTTCCATCAGAGCATTACTGAGGGAAGATTTTCCTGCATAATAAAAGATTAATAATTTGATTCGTTGCCTTATTCTTTGAGACACTTGTGTATAGACATAAACATACATGTATCATGGGTTTATTGTTAATCACCAGAGCAAAATATACAAACCAGTATTCATTTTCCTTTCACAGGTGAAAAAAACAGTATGAATTTGTTGATAGTCTACTGAATGTTATATTTCCATTGAACTGTACTTTGATACTCGTCTTTGGATCTTGCAAAAATGTTTATTGACCATGTGATACGTGTTCATTGACTCCACCAGATGTTCTTCTATGTGTGTGGAATGGTATTTCACATGAATAAAATCATACGCCAACCGTGTGGTGTGTCTGAATAATTCTGGATTGTCAAATCCCCAATCACGGGGCTGAAGACGACTCTATGAAGTGCTGGGGATCCGTTTCACAGTATTGATTGACATCTTGACATTTCAGATTGAAATCCATGGAACAGAATGGATTTTCCTAGCTTGGCTGAATCCATTGATTGCTTTATTCCAGTTTGAGATGCCCTTTGGCTTAGCAGAGTATTTTGAGCCCCATGATCTATCACATTTATCACAACAAAATCACCTCTTATATCTCATGTCCACCAGTGATGGTCAGACAATTCTGGTCATTTAAAGCAGACTGGGAGATTTAATATAGTCAAACAATAACTTGAAATCAGGTTTACATGTGCAGCAGATGCAATTATCTTAAAACATGTGCTGTAACACACAGAAGCTAAAACCTCCATTACAGTGGTGCCATTCCCTTGAGGAATGCGAGCCTGTAATGGCCAGTAAGACCAATGACGCACTGCTACATCCAACACACACAACACTCGGGTTGTATTATTACATGTGTTTTATTTTTGACTTAACTCTTTTGGAAATAAATGTCGCGATGACACTGTTGTCTCTTGCTCACAGCTCTATATGAGCTCCTAAAAATGCTAGTAGGTGGTGAGAGGAGATTTGGAGTGTCCTTATTTGCCAGGAGATAGAGGTTCTGTGTCCCAGAATGGAGTTTGAGCCAAACAACAAACTCTGAATGATGCAAACTTCGCTTTGATAAAAAAGCTGAAGAAAGTTTTTGGTGTTTTATGGGACACGGCTTACTTCATCTTATTTAGGATTGCATTTTTATTTTGAATCACATTCAGACATTTATACAGCACTGCAAATATCTGGACTATATTGACAACATTTAGGGGCTAAGTATTTTAGCAAACAACATTTCAGCATGCGGACTGAAGGGGCTGGGGATCAAACTGTTGAACTACTGGTTGGGGAGGCTCTCTACAAATGAATCTGCATATTTCTCAGGTGCGTGTTTCCATCATATTACTCCAAGAAACCAATGAAAAAAACTACACACATTTATACAGAGAGTCATTTGTTAGCCCGGTTTCCTTTCTATTTTCTACAGCATCTTAAAAATAAGATCTACTAATTATTAAAATAAAAAAGTGTGATGATTCATGTTGCATGTTACTGATGTCTCAAATAAAAATATGTTAAAGAGAGAACCTCCATCTACGTGCTCCATTCTCGAGCATGGATGTACGAAGGGAGAATTGTATTTTCATGTATTAACTCATTTTACGGCTGCTACTGTGCGAGTCGAGCAATGTTTCTTGTGTCACCACATTTTTCCAACTTGACTGGAGTCAACAGGCTTTTGCCAGAATGAGTAACGTTTGTGTTATTCCCAGAGGGAGAGGAAATGGGAAAAGTATTTCATTACTTTTGTCTCGACATTAATCAGCTGCTGAACGCCTCAAGGTCAACACTGGTGACCAAAATGAAATAACTGCCATGACAATCATTTATGTGTGTGTGTGTGTGTGTGTGTGTGTGTGTGAGTAAAAACCTTGGAGATACAGTAAAGATAAAAAAAATCACTTAGCAGACACCAATGACTTACTGTTACTGTGACCTGATGAGAAAATGAAGTTGCACATGAAAACATAAATCATGACTGGAGAATAAGAGGAGGAGACCCCCGTCCGATTCTACATGGTGGTGGAGTCTTGTTTTATTTTCAGGAGAGAAGCCAGATTTATCCCAGATACAGTGGGATCAGTGACTCACTGCAACTTTATTACTCAACGGTTCACAGAGAGAACGATTGCATCAGTCCGTAAACGGCTTTTCACTGACGTTCTACAGATCGCCACGGTGCCTTTGAACATCCAGGGACAATCTCCCTCCTTGGTGGAGCTTAGAGGCTTTTCATTAAGAATAAAATATATCTTGATGCTGCTTCAAGAGAACAAGCAAAGGTTTGACAAGGTCCCCAATGGGACTTAAAACCCTTAGTTGGCATGAGCCTAAAGGATGGAAAGAAAGGACATGAGAACATGTTCCAAAAATAATCCAAGATAAAAACATAAAACCCTCTTGAAGGATGTTTTGTCAATCTCATTAGAGCTTCGTAAACAAAACGGGCAATTTAACCTGTTTTCTTTCTGCTATACTTAAACAAGCGCTAGATCAAAGCCGATATGGCGAAACACTAGTGGTAATCAAATTCATTTTTGTAAGGGATTTTTATCAGAGAGCAAAATACGCTTTCTGTATCCATAAAAAGCAAATTAGGATGGAAATGTTCACATGGGAAGAAAAAATCCAAGCAGGAAAACACTGACTGTTGAATTACTAATTGCTTGATTGTTTGCCAGTCAGGTGCAGAGTGTGTATCTGTGTGCACAAGGTGAATGTGCATACAACTGTTTGCAAAGTAATTGTTGGACGTGAGGCTCCAGCTCCGAATTAAAAGGCTTGCACGTCCGCGTCTCAGTCGGTTCTTTCAATCTTCCTCGCTCTCCTGGGCGTCTGATGCACATCAGATCATTATCATTTCTCAATAAGGTGCTGAACACATTTGCACTATCCGACTAAACTAATTGTCAAGGGACTGTCTGGAGTGTTTGCCAATCACCATCATTTGTTGGACTGCACAGGCTGCATACAGATGACTTGTCTGTGATCTGTACGACATGCAGCCATCTCTCCTGTGGCTGCACTGTAGATTTTATGTGCAAGCATCAGATCACAATGTTTTCAACGGGGACATTAGCAGTCACAACAGGCCAGATTTCCAACAGAGTGATTTAAAGATCCGACGGTCACAGCAGAAAATAGAAAGAAAAAAAAAACCTTCCTCATCCATTACTGATGAGCCTGTTTAGCCTAAATAGATGAAACTCTGAATCTGAGCTTATTAATGTTTTATTCTTTGAATCTCATCTTTCGTCCAGAGTTAGAATTGTTTAAATGAAGTCATATTATCTGCAGTGATCAGTATTAAACAAAAGGGTGCAGACAACTCTAGCCATTTAGGGAAGTTCAGCTACAGTATGTTGATCCCCTCGCGTACTACAAGTAGATCTCTTTAAAATAGATCCACTATACTTTGATTATACTTAAGACCTCCTACAAATACATTTACCACATCGTTACACCAAATTCATCTAATAATTCCAGAAATCTGCCAGCCTGCAGCTCGCATATATCGAGGACTATTCATCACGTCTGCTTGTCACTTGTCGTGTGTTGTTATGGGAAGTGCAGTGTTAAATTTAGTGCGATTTGGACACATGATTGGTATTTATAGACTTTGAATTGACAGGCAACCAGGGCTCTGTATCCGGGTTGGCAGGGACTCATCATCGTGCCATTGTTGATCTCAACAACTGTAACAACAACCAACTCTCCAGTTTGGGGTTTGCTTTATCCAACTTTGAATAAAAAAACCTTTTGTGTAGCAGCTGTTATTTATTTTTTTACTAGCAGCAGCCCAATTTCTGCAGGTCACTTTAACAGTTTCAGAAAGAAAAGCTGGAACCAGCAGCGAAAACATCTCATTCCTAACAGGCAGGTTTGGAGAGTGCACTCGATGTGCAGAGATAAGAGGGAAAAAGACACCCACATCCAGACTCACAAGGTGAATGCAATACCAGCCCCACCGCAGCGGGTAATCACCAATTGCTGGACCAACATCCCTGTCCAGCCGCTCCCCCCCCCCACCTGGAGACTTGTCCAGCACGTTCACAGCTCAGGAGATGAACAGTAATCAACAGAGTTCCAGGAAATCAAACAGTGTCACACTTCCTGCCAGGAGGAGGTGCCATTCAAATCGACCCCGGGGTCAAGGCCAGTTTGCTTGTGCGAGAGAGGATCTGGGGACCCATTTGATGTCATCAGCGCTGGACTTGATGGGAGCAGATGGAGCACTCGCTGCTGACGGACTGAGTGCAGCTGTCTGAGGTTTTTATTTTCTCCCTCGGTTGTTTGCGGTATTTGATGTTTGTGCTTTTTTGACAAGAGGCGGAGCTCAGGGGTTTTCTGTCATTCTGCTGTAATGTGACAGAGCTACACTGGAGACTTTGTCGTGGGATTACAAATGATATGTTATTGAAACAAAATGTTACCGTCAGGGAAAATTTTAAATAATTAATTGGCTCTAGACACACACAATTGTTGTTTTTCATAAAAAATGTTGTCATCTGGCAAAATGTTCAGTGTTAAACTTATAAATTGAGTTTATTGAAAGTGGGGCCACAGACATATTTAGGCACATTCTGGACCAAATCTTTAATCGACTCTTGTTGCAGTTGTGAAATATTTTTGGTTCTAGTGTTTAGATGCAGAATCTCTTGTAATGTTTGCAAACCTGTCTCCCTTGGAAACTGAAATATCGGTGAAACTACTAAAGAAACTATCTTGACGAAAGCTAAATTTCAGTGTAAATGAAGCACCCCAACAGATAATGCCAATCACAGCCTGTACACGGCAAAATATATAAAAAGTGTTGGTAGAATGTGAAATGATCTCAACACTGATCGTGCATGAGGCACCGCAACTTTGTATTCGCACAAAAGGCTGAGAGGCTCTTATAGCTAATGAGATCCAGTTGGATGGATACTTAATCATTTCACCTTTACAAAAGCTCTTAATTGAATGTTTAAGGTCACAGCAAGTCAAAGGTCATGGTTGGTCAATTTAACGAGCAGTAATACCTCAAATGTGGGTAACCTGGATTACAACATCCAGAGACGTGACCCTGACAAGTGCAGATTAAGAGGCTCAGAGGCTCCGTGCTGCAGGAGGTGGCCACACACACACCGGACTGAGTCATAGGGATACAAGTCTTTGTATTATATGTTTCAATTTAAAATGGACAGTAGTGGCTAATGCACAACCTTACTTATATTGATTATTTAATAGAAAGCTCCTATCTCTCAAACAATAACAACAAACAACATTCCTTACACAGTTAAAAACAGAATAAGTCTATTTCCTGAACTTGCTTCTTTCATTAGACTACTACAAGCCAAGTAAAACAGATTCAAACAGTTCATGAATTCTTTATACATTTACTCAGG